TGAATAGTAATATTTGCTAGTGATATGCTTCATTAACTATTTACAGAAGATAAGTTTTGTTTGGCATTTTGTGTCTTTCCATAAAATGTAATGCTATGCCCAGACGAGAAAATTAGTTTGATATAGTGTTTCTTTCTAAGGCTGTATTCATGACAAGAAATTATTTTTAACTGGATTCATGGGCAGATGGAGAAACAAATGAAGGTGGGCTTGTAGCTTTGTATGGAAAAATACAAAAAATTATTTGTAGCTTACCTGACATCAAGAAGAACCAAGTTACTTTGATGATAGACGATGTATCTCTCATGGAGGTGGCTGCTAATGGGTGTTCAAACCATGTCCTAGACTTCCTGCACTATTGCCACACTTTAACATCTGAATTTGTAAGATAGTTGCTGAACTTTCTACTTTTGTCTAGTGTTTTCCTGTATTTCATGGCTGTGTCAAATAATGCAACTCGTTTTGCATTCTTACATAGCTCTTGTTTTAGGACTGTTCTTTGGTAGTACTTAATCACAAGGATATTTATTCAACCACGGAGAGGCCTACATCCATGTTACAGATGGAGTACCTTGCAGACATTCTAATTAAGGCAGAACCCTTGGCCACTGGTTTAGCAACTGATGTGCACGGACAGGTATTTTCTAATATGCTTTGCTTGTAGTGAGCATTCTCTTAACAACCAAGTCTTTGAAAAGAATTAGTCTGGCTTGTTGCTAAATAGTAGTTGGTGAGGCAGGTAATTGCCAGAAGTTAACAGGTTAATCTGCTTTCTTTCTCTAGCATTTATCCTTTTAAGAATTTCCGCTTGGTGGGATCCTCACAGACGAAAAAAAGATTGCAATCAGTTTGATAATGATCGAGCGACATTGCTTGTTCACTGTGATCCCTGAATACTTTATATATGATGCGAAATGGATCTTGTTTAGAGATTTCTCTTGAAGCATAGAAATTGGAATTTGAAGAAGAGGCTGGATGAGTTCTGGACACGCATCAGATATAGGACTATTGATTCAATCACGGAGCTAGGACGCCTAGAATATGGAACCCTTGGGCCTTTTGATTCCATGTGTTAAATTCTGCATTGTGTTAGTCAGGAAAACATGAGAATAAATTTCTGTTTTAAGATTAGAATTATATCATTCTAAGAGCACCAAGTGCAACCAAAGAATGACATATTAGCATATAACAAATCAAAATGTCAATAAGATTTTCCAGAATTTATATATAGGAGGGGATGACCAGTCCATAAAATACTCAAGGACAACCAATAGTCTTATATTAGGAGTAGAGTAAGTGACCCAAATGATACGGTTGTTTTCCTTTCTATATGACCCACAAAATGGACTTAAGAGTGAGGTTGAGTAGTTTCTCTCTCGCTTTACAAACTCTAATATCTTATCAAGCCCAAATCTCCTGCTTGATCCAGCCATCACCCAAAAGAAGTTATGAAGGAATAAGGCAGAATCCAATAACCTTCTAGCCTCTGACTGTTGCAAGAGAAGACAATAATGGGATTCTTGCTCCTTCAATACATGCTCATTGACCAAATCTTTCCTCTCTTCCTTAAGTTGTCTATGGTCAGGATTCTTTGCCCAGCTGTTTCCCAAGAAAAAAATTTCATGTGCTTACGAGGGGCTCTAGATGCAAAACCATTATGTTTCATATCCAACTAATTCAGACCAAAGGGTGGATGGTTTTTTGATTTATGATTAAATTTCTTCTAAAGATGGAAAGGTCTATGTGAAATCCTCATAAGCGAATAAGCCTTGATTATGACTTGTATTCCTTCTTGACCAAATGT